TTGGGGGGCTTTCTAGAGTTATCTGAGTGGTTGCTAGGATGTTCTGGTGGGTTTTTATGACAATATGGAGGTTGCTAGTGATTTTTGAATGGGTTTCCATTGTGTTTGTGGTGGTTGCATAGGTGTTTCTAGGGAGTTGCTATGATGTTCTGTTTGCTGTGCTTTAGGAGGTTACCAAGGCATTCTGAGTAATTGCTAGGCTGTTTTAATGGGTTTCCAGGGTGTTCTAGGGAAGTTGCTATGATGTTCTGTGTGGTTTCTAGGGTGTTGCTAGGGTATTCAAGAGGGTTTCCAAGGTAGGTGATCTGGGTGGTTGCGAGTGTTCTAAGGGGTTTCTATGGTGTTCTTTTTTAAAATATTGGTTAGAATATTCTGGGTCATTTTTGGGATGTTCTAAGTGGTTTCTAGGGTGTTCTGGGAGGTTGCTGGTGTGCTCTAGAGCAGGGGTTTTCAACCTTTTAGGACATGCGCGCCCCAAGTTTGTCTAATTTCACTCGCGCCCCCCCCCAGTATTACTGTAGTCACATCTAATTACTTTATTATCATTAACATAAAAGCAAATATCCATTAAAGCTATTAAAGCAGCGAGCAATTTTTCTTTTTATTTCTTATTTACATAAGAAATGCACGGATCCGTTATACTGATGTACATTTGATATTTTCTTTACTGTTTACATTCACTTAAAACAACCGACTGTGCTTACAAGGATATTTGTCAAGACAGCCATTGGTATTCACCTGCTGTCTGAGAAGGCTATCTGTTTGTGCACTTCAGGTGTGTGAGCGGTGCGCATAGAAACGCTCTATCACAGTGCGTGAGTACCGCATTGAGATGTCTTGGGCTTAAATGGCTTAAAATTACTTTAATGTTTAAACTGACAAGACTTAAAACACGTGAGAATGAAAAACTTTCTCGAGGAAGCAGCACTGGCCTGATCGTTAAGATAGTTTGGGGGGCTAAGCTGACAGATAAGGGGGGCTGAAACCCACCTAAAAAGGGTTTATAACCGCCCCTGGTATAGCGTACATAATTATACTGAAACATAAATATATAACCAGTTTACCTGATTCAATGTGATGGCTGAGCCTGTTTCTGAGATAACAACATGCCAATCAGTGGTTGGATTTCCGACACGGCTAACCGTAAATCATCTTACACTGTCGCCCCACAGGTTGAAAACCCCTGCTCTAGAGGATTTCAAGGGCATTCTGGTGGATGCTAGAGTGTTTCATGTGGTTGCTAAGCTGTTCTAGCTGGTTGCTAGGGGATTTAGTGGATTCAATGCTGATTCAGTGTTAGTCTATATCATTTTTTTAACCTGTTTTGTCATCCACCCGGTGCAAATTATATGTCTGATTGCTTATAAAAGTAACAGCGCACCTCTTCTCAACAAACCACATGAGGTTTGAGGTATCTTTCATGTCTGTAAAACACAATGTAAGTATGAACAATAGTAAAAGTGTTTGTTCTAGCAAGCGCTACTAATTAACCTTACCTTTATACTCACTTAACCACGAAACTCAACACCCCAACAAATTAGCATTTGAATCCTGCGCTTTTTCATTTGCTTTAATTGAGACAGACGGCTAAGTTTTCTCCAAGGCTGCTGTCCGCACTGACTGCAATAACAGAATTAATGGACGCAGGCCAGTGTGTCTTGACCTTCTGTCCTGCATTACGAACACACATGTCAGGGTAATTGGATCCCTGAAGATATATGTGTGATTCTTAAGCGAAGTCTCTGTCACTGATCTATATGTCCACGTCCCATTTCCTTTGTGTCCATGAGCTCAGTATTGAGTTAGAGCTGCCGAAATGGCTTTTCAGGTCTAGTGCTGTCAGTAAATGCTGTCATTTGTCTTCCTCAATTAGAGGTTAAATATTATATGATTCCTTTCAAGCACCTGCAGGCAGATGCATTGAGATGGTCTTTGCTTCCATAGTGCTCCTAAACCCAATCCCAAAGTAAATCTCTGAGCAAAATTTGATTGCTCACAGATTGGTGCTTCTTAGCTCAGGAAAGTTATTGGAGAAGCAACTTTGCATCAGGTGTTTCTCCAAAAATAATAGACACAAATGATACATTGAAGTATCAACTTCATCTTAGATGTTTCTCCTCAGATTCCACAAGCAGGCTCAAATCAACTGTTGACATCCAGAAAGAGTAGATGGAGAAGATGTGGATTACAGTTCAGATCATTTGGCTTTGGGAGACTTTGATGCGAAATGTTCGAGTTTTTATCAAAACTGACTTTTGATGGGAGACTTTTTTAGGATCAGTCACACTTCAGACAGAAGCAAAAGTCTCACAATTTAATCTCTTTGTTGTTTAGGAGAAACAATTGAGATGTTCCACTTCCAAACACATTAAGAAGTCTCTTTACTGTCTAAGAGAAACTATTGAGACATTGCAGAGATCTCCTTGGATGACTGGTCACACTTTTGCGACTATAGCACCCATCTACACCTGATTTCAACCTAAACTGCTGCATCACATCAGACAAGAGCAAAAACGTCCTCAGGACCAAGTAAAAGAATAACAAACCACTTCCCGAAAAGAGGACGGACGGCGTAAACCAAGTTAAGCCACCATTCCAAATGAAAAAGAATTGTTTAAGGGTATGAACTAAAAAGGGCAGCTACATTTACGCGAAGAAATGGAATTTGTAATAAATGAACTTCGTGATCAGCAGGGAGAAGGTGAAAAAAAAGATGAAAATTGCCAATAGAAGGGCAGGGGGTTTTATGTAAATGAATGTGAGAGCTGAAATTAGCTCAACCCTCAGGGTGAGTGCGTTATCATTTCGCGCGTCGATGGAACTCCAGGGAATGGCAGGTTAACATCATAAAACAGTCACCCAGGTTTGAGCCTCATCAGCCTTTTTAATTTGAAGAATGCTTCTCTGAAGGGATGAATGGGCCTAGAGATTGAGCGTCGTGGTCGCATCCACCTGTAGTGACCTTCACCAACTGTTGTAGCTCTGTTATGTTTGTGTGTTCACTTTGTGGAAACTCTTCCAATTTTCACTGTTCTTTTTCCAGCAATGGCTACCTTGCTGGTTGCTAGGATGCTCTGGGTGGTTGCTGGGATTCTTCAGGGAGTTTCTATTACATTCTGAGTGGTCGTTCTAAGCAGTTTCCAGGGGTTGATAGGATGTTGATCAGGTGTTGCTAGGATGTTTTAGTGGGTGTTTGTTTTTATTTTTGGGGGGGGGGGCTATTTCTAGGGTGTTGCTAGGGTGTTCTAGGTGGTTGCTAGGATGTTTGAGTGGGTTTCTGAGCTGTGTTGGGTGGTTGCTAGGGGATTATAGGGAGTTTCTATGATGTTCTGGGTGGTTTCTGGGGTGTTGCTAAGGTGTTCTAGGTGGTTGCTATGGTATTCTAGGGAGTTTCTTTGATGTTCTGAGTGGTTGTTCTAAGGAGTTTCTGTGGTGTATTTAGGATTTCATAGAATGTTGCTTGGGTTTTGCTAGGATGTTTTAGTTGGTGTTTATGTTTTCTGGTGGTTTCTAAGGTGTTGCTATGGTGTTCTAGGTGGTTCCTAGGATGTTTTAGGGAGTTTCTATGCTGTTTTGTGTGGTAGTTGGGTTTTTATTGGGTTTTGATGGTTGCTGTGGTGTTTTAGTGAGTTTATCTGATGCTCTGGGTTGCAAGGGGGTTTCAAGGATGTTCTAGTTGTTTTATATGTTGTTTTGGGTGTTTACTTGGGGTTTCTAGTGAGTTTCTATGTTTTGGAGGTTGTTTAGGGTGTTGCGAGAATTTATTTATTTATTTTTTGGGCTGTTCTAGGGAGTTGCCAAGGTGTTCTGGTTGGTTTCTAGGGTATTCTATATTTCTATGATGTTCTAGATGTTGTTAGTGTGTTGCTAGAATGTTTTATTAGATTTCTGTGTTGTTTTTGGGAGGATTGTGCCAAGGTGTTCTGGGTGGTTTCTAGGGTGTTCTAGGAAGTTTCTGTGTTGCTCTGGGTGGTTTCTAGGCTGTTGCTAGAATGTTCTAGGAGGTTGCCAAAGTGTTCTGAGGGTTGCTAAGGTGTTGCTGTTTTATTGGATTTCTGTGATATTTGGGTGGTCACTATGGTGTTCAAGGGGGTTTCTATGATGTTTTGAGTGGTTTTTCTAGGGGGTTTCTATGGTGTTTCCGGGGGTTGCTAGGATGTTCCTCGGGTGTAGCTGGGATGTTTTAGTTTAGGTTTCTAGGGTGTTGCTAGGGTGTTCTAGGTGGTTGCTACAATGTTTTAGTGAGTTTTGCTGTGTTCTGTGTGGTTTTTAGGGCTCTAATGCGTATGAGCAATAGTAATAGTACGGTGGCCGAGAAGTGCAAAGCAGATCACAATTCTGAAAACAAAATAACAAATTACAAACGCAAATGAAAGTCTAAAAAACAAAATAACAATTCAGAAAGCACAACAACAATTCAGAAAACATTATAACAAGTCAAAACACAATGACAAATTCGAAAACAAAATAAGTCAGAAAACACAACGACAAATCCGAAAACAAATTAACAAATCAGAAAACACAACGACAAATCAGACAAACCGGAAAAGGTAGGTATAGTTTGAGACAGCGCCATTGGTTTGGGATTACTCAACGCTGACTGGACGAGACATCTGTCAATCAACGTATACAGGAAGAACCAGCCGAAGAACAGCAGAGTCGTGGTAGAAAGTTCGGAGATGGTATTAAAGTAGCTCAGTTTAAATGTATTGTATGAATTGCCCTTACTCTGGAATAAAAAATACGGGGTGTCTATTTACATTTAGTCTGAATTGTTATTTTGTTTTTTAGACTTGCATTTGTGTTTGTAATTTGTTATTTTGTGTTCAGAATTGTGATCTGCTTTGCACTTCTCGGCCACCGTATAATAGTGATGTAATTAGCAAGCACTATTAATTAAAATCACTTTTATATTTGCTTGACCACGCAATTCAATTCCCCAACAACTGAACTTTGTATTTTGTCATTTGTCCTAATTCAAACTCTTTTTTTTTTTCCAGCAATGGCCACCTGGTTACCAGCGTTCCTACTGGTGCTACAAGTAACTGCTGCATCCTCCGAAGAGCCCATACTGGAGTTTTCCACGGACTCGCCCATCAATAATGTGGCACAAGACCCACAGACTGGTCGTGTTTACCTGGGTGCTGTCAATGCCATTTATCAGTTGAACTCTTCATTGCACCTTGAGGCCAGAGCTGAAACGGGGCCCAAGAAAGATGCGAGGGGTTGCACCCCTCCGGTGTCTACTTGCCAGGACCTGAAAGACACCAACAACACCAATAAACTCTTGCTGGTTCATTCGGCTAATGGGTCACTGATAGTCTGTGGGAGTTTGTACCGAGGAATCTGCTCTCTGCTCAACCTCACCAACGTCAAAGAGCAAATATACTACAGCGACAGCAAAGGGGAGCGGACCTACGCCACCAGCACTGAAGAGCACGTTTCCGTGGTAGGAGTCATGGCCACGCTTGAAATCGACGATAAACCGTTTAGCGTCTTTTTAGTAGGGAAGGGCTACGGAAGCATGGACAGCTCCAAACTCATCAGCACCAGAATCGTGCAGAACTACCGCGACTGGGTCTTGTTCGAGAGCATTATCGAGGCGTCTACTGTCCAGGCGGTTCCCTTTGTGCCCAAGTACCTGCACGACTTCCGCTTCGCCTTCAAAAATGACAACTTCGTCTACTTCCTCTTTTCACGCACTCTCGGCGGAACGGACAACAAGAACTTTACTTTTGTTTCGCGCCTCTGCGAAAACGACAATCACTATTATTCGTACACGGAGCTTCAGCTTACTTGCGGTCTGAAGAATCGCTATAACAAAGTCCAGGCTGCGTATTTGACAGAACCGGGGAAAATGCTGGCCCAGGCCATATCTGAATCCGGAGACTATGGGAATGTCCGGGAGTGGGATAAAGTCCTGTTTGTGGTAGCTAGCTCAGAGGAAGGGGCCACCGAATCAGCTCTGTGTATGTATCCCCTTAAAAACATCAATCAGAAACTCTTGGACATAGTTACTGCTTGCTACACGGACAATGGCAAGATTAACAACAGATTAGTTGTGGAGAGTCCCTACACGTCCAGTAAAGATGAGCCATGTGTCAAACACGATGTAAGTAACAGCTTTTCATAACACTGATCAATGACACGAAGTGGAAAATGTATTTCTTGCTAGTTTAACAACTGACAATGCTTAGCTTTTTCTGGACCAAACGATTTGTTTATTATGAGCCTCTACCAAAGGTTTTGAATGTCCATAACTGTATGAAGTAGGTTTTTTTTCTGCACTGACACCTGTCATTTACATGAAAATAAAGGGTTTTACCCACACACAGGGACACATCTCTATTAATAACAGTAGATAATGTCCCATATAAATTTTATATGGGAGAAAACATACTTGCTTACCTGTATTTTATGTTTTCGTTTAATGAAAAAATATTTTAATAATAGTA